CCCCAATTGTTTTAATAACTAGGGCTTTCTTGTGTGATTGTTTTGAAATCTGAATTGATGTTTTTTTTTTGTAACGTTTTTTTATCTGGTCATATGGCAGGGGAAAGCTGAGCAGTTAGCTGATTATAGTAAGAGGCTGAAGCTATGCATCAAATGGTTGCAGGAAGTTGGGGAAGGCCATATTCTCGAGGAGGAAAAACTACGGAATGCATTGGCTTCTGCAGAAAAAAAAAGCGCGGATACTGGTATTTCTTTATTCTTTATTCATGCCATTGTCTGTTGGAGTGGCACAACTTCGTAACTAACCAATGAATTGCTTATGTATGGTGGTATATTAAGTATTATAGAGTTTTCAGATGGAAATCTCAAGTGATTTGTCAAGTAGTATCGTGCTTTTGTTACAAGTGAACCTATGTGGTTATGATATTTAAGAGATTTTGTTCAAAGGAACAGATTTGTAATATGTGTTCAATTTGTTTATTTTTAAGAGGTGGAGATGAAAAACAAGGTCGACGAGCTCAATGCTGTAAATTCAAAGCTGAGGGAAAATATAGCTACTTTAGAAGAGAAACTTGCGAAAGAAGAATCAGAGAAGTTGGTAAGGTTTCCAGTCATGCAGTTGCACACTAATTTTTGTGATATGATTGTCATTCCCGCTTTTGGTTTTTTTTTTCTTGGGTCTTTTCTTCGCATTTTATTTTCATCCTTTTGTTTAACATTCAGGATGCGATTGCTAGTCACAGAAGTGAAAAGGAAGCAAGGGATGCTGCTGAGAAGTTGCAAGCTTCTCTCTCACAGAAGCTTGAAATAGTGCGGGAGGAGAAATTAGTTGCAGACAAGAAGGTAATACAGTCAGATTTTTCTCTTCCTACTGCATATTACCAATTCTTTTCCAAATTCTCCTCCGGTTTATCAAAATTTGCATTCGGTAATGTTTCTAAATTATGCCGCTGCAGGTTTCTTCGTATCAGGATTTATATAATCGAGCACAAGAGTACAACAAGAGTCTACAACAGTACAATAGCAAACTCCAAAAAGATCTTGAAACTGCCACCGAGTCTCTCAAACGAGTTGAAGATGAGAAAAGGACAGTTCTGGAGACGCTTAGCAATTTGAGGGTTCACAATAAGGCATTGCAAGATGAGTTGACTAAAGTAACAGTACGTATCTGTGCAGCAATCCTTGTTTTGATGATATATACTTTTTTGTCACCTTTCACCACCCTATATATATCCTAGTTCAATTTTTTTGTCAACTGAGAGACGATTTTCTTGGGAAATGACCCATTTATTTACCTGAAATCCAAGAATATAACACGCCTTTTTACTGTATGTACATGATTTGCGTGTAGGCCTCACTGGACGAAACATTAAAGCAGAAGGAATTATTAGATAATGAAATCAAATGCCTTCGTGGGAACTGCAGCAAGTTAGAGATGACCGTGATCGCCATGCAAGAGAGATTCAAGATTTGAGGGATCAAGTGGTGAAGTACAAGGAAAACACTGAGATGTCGTGTGAAGAGTTAGATAGATTGATGAGAAAATCAAAAGCCTTGGAGGTTCGTATTAGATTCTTTATTTTGTTTTAGTTTTTTTATTTTATTTCATGATTTCCTGCTGTATCAACTTTTTAATATTGTGGGCATGCTTTTTTAGGAAAGAGATTCATCTCAGAAACAGGAGATAGATACATTAAGGCATGAGCTAAATGCTGCAAATGATAAATTGAAGGTAATATGAATTCAGTTGGGGTTTTAAAATGTTGCTTATACCTGTCAATTTATAAGTTAACATCTACTGTTTACTTTCTCTTAGATGGTCAGTCAATCCGCTTCAGAAACATTGACAGAATTTGAAGAACATAAGAGAATCGTACAGGAGTTACAAAATCGTCTGGCTGAATCAGAGCTGCAAATACTGGAAGGAGAGAAGTTAAGGAAAAAGTTACATAACACTATTCTGGTAATTTTACCTATGCTTAACATGTTATAGAGTTAATAAGATTTCAGGGTACTAATCTTTTCTTTAATAGGAATTAAAAGGTAATATTAGGGTGTTCTGTCGAGTGCGTCCATTGCTACCTGACGATGCCAATGCAACAGACGCCCCTGTAGTTTCTTATCCTACAGGAACAGAATCTCTTGGCAGAGGCCTCGACTTGGTACAGAGTGGTATGGGCATGTCTAATAATTTTTTACTTTAATTAGTTTAAAATATAAGTGTACACCACTTTACTTAGATTTTTTTTTAATCTAATTCCACTATAAATGTTTGCAGGCCAAAAATTTAATTTCACATTTGACAAAGTGTTTCACCACGAGACTTCCCAACAAGATGTTTTTGTGGAAATATCGCAACTTGTACAAAGTGCACTTGATGGCTACAAGGTATAAGTTGAATCTTGTTCATGTGTTTTTAAAGGAATTAAATGTTCATTGGACTGAATTTTTTACTTTTTCTTCCCATTATTTTGGTTTCCGAGTCCATAATCGAGATAACTTTTGCCCTTAGGAATTAGCTGCCAGTGTGTAATATTTTGTGTATTTTGGTTATGTGCTGATCGTTTTTCTTTCCCCTTTAAGTATTTTATGGATTATGTTTTTAGAATTAGAACTGCTTCCAATTTCTTTGGTGAATTCTTTTACCTTTCATACAGGCAAATGCATGCACTGAAATAAAAATTGATTTTCTTTTTTAGGTCTGCATATTTGCGTATGGTCAAACAGGTTCCGGAAAAACTTATACTATGATGGGCAGGCCAGATGCTCCAGAGCAAAAGGTTTAATACCTCGTTCACTCGAGCAGATATTCCAAACGAGTCAAGCTCTTCAGGCCCAGGGTTGGAAATACAAAATGCAGGTACTATAACTTGTTTTTTGTTTGTTTAGGTTTGCAAATTATAATGTCCTTTCAAAATATGTGCAGGCCTCGATGCTTGAAATATACAATGAGAACATTCGTGACTTGTTATGCACTGGTCGTTCAAGCAGTGCAGACTTGTCAAAGATAGAAAATGGTGTTTGCGGAAAGCAGTACACGATAAAGCATGATGCAAATGGAAACACATATGTTTCTGACCTAACGATTGTTGATGTTTGCAACATAAACCAAATTTCATCTCTTTTACAACAGGCTGCACAGAGCAGGTATGCATCAAAAGTATTCGAATTGGTCGTGATATTTCATATATGTTAGTTCATTTTGAGTCACTTTCATATGAAAGGCTGCACTTAGCAATGTTACTGTCAAGTTTTCAAAACATCAAATCTGATGTGGCTGTTCATTCTTGAATGCTATTTCTTAGGTCTGTAGGCAAGACTCATATGAATGAGCAATCTTCGAGAAGCCATTTTGTTTTTACCTTGCGTATATCTGGGATTAATGAGGTTTGTTTTGCGCTGATGTGATGTTATTGTTCTTCCTTACCAATCTTTCATTCGCTTTTTAAGTTTGATTACTGACACGCTTTCTTGCCTTGGTAGAACACGGAACAACAAGTCCAGGGGGTCTTAAATCTTATTGACCTTGCCGGTAGTGAAAGACTATCAAGGAGCGGTGCAACTGGGGAGCGTTTGAAGGAGACTCAGGTTCTTTTCTTCTTGAAAATCTCCAATCTTCTTTCCCGAATAGATGTAAATATATTCTCAAGTTTTATATTGGTTAGCTCACAATATGACATTAACAACCAGGCCATTAACAAGAGTCTCTCATCATTGAGCGACGTCATATTTGCTTTGGCGAAAAAGGAGGACCATGTTCCTTTTAGGAACTCCAAACTGACATATCTTCTACAGGTATAGTAATCTTTGATTAGTTTTACCATTATGGCAGCTTGCTTTGTTCTTTGATTATTTTTAACATTATGACATCTCGTTTAATGTACAAACAGCCTTGTTTGGGAGGAGATTCGAAAACATTGATGGTTGTTAACATCTCCCCGGATTCCTCTTCGGTTGGGGAATCCCTCTGCTCACTTCGATTTGCCGCTAGGGTCAATGCTTGCGAAATTGGGATTCCTCGGAGGCAAACCTCCATGAAACCTGCAGATAATCGCTTAAGTTACGGCTAGCTTTGTCATCTTTTCTGTTTGGAGGTTGGTTGCTGTCGTCTGTATGTGGGAAAGGGTGTGTTTTGTAGGTCTTGTGCTTTAAGGTACTACAAAATTTGTACTTGTAGATTTGTATCGTGTACTGAGAGATCAGTACGTTGTTTTCTATGCTTATAAGTTATGACAATATATATATTTATTGTTTTAGTAACTTGATTTATTGCTGTATGAGAAAATATTCCTTATTGGATCAACACTTATCACAAGTAATGATTGGCATATTCCTTTGTTAGTTGAATACAATAACAACATATCTTAATCTCTCTAATTGGGTTGGCTGTATGAGTCCAGAACACCACGTGTCCTATTTTACCTCAATAAGGTACTTGAGTGCATTGAGACTTCATTAACTCTTTGATATGGAACCATTTTTACATCTTCTTATGTCTACTCACGTGTTGTTCGATTTCATGTCCGTTTCGAATACTATAAAAGTAGTTGATGTTACATTCTAAAATTGATTTGCTATAGAGATACTAGCACAACTCTTTATAAGCCGTTGACTTTACTTAGCTTTCTGATGAGAAACAATCTTCACATCCTCACAATAAATAGCCGAAAAAGTACCCTAATTTTTTTTAGTTTTCACTATTTATTGTCTTTTATTTATTTGACAAACATACATATTTAATCACGTCAGTAAAAATAATTTTTTTTCCCCATGCAGTAAGCACTAAGTTTGAATTTCCCGTCTAACACTATAAATTGATACAATTAATATATTTTAATTGTAAAAAATTTGTCAACTTACCAATGAGGGTAAAGGGGGCAAAATCATCATACCATAGTTTGCATTATATAACGGTGGGGGTCCAAAAACATTCATATCTATCCTAATCTCTTTTCTCCTTTTTGATAAAACTAAACTGTCTAGCCCGTTGTTTTCAAACCGTGACAAAAAATAAGAATAAAGTGGTATTAGCAGCATCAGAATTCCAGAGTTTTACAGAGTCACGGATATCCGAATCAAACTACAAAAGGCCACCTAACTGAGCCAACCGTGCCAAGCAAGAGAAGCAACAGAAAGCAGAGAAGGAAGGGGAAGATGGCAGGTCAACTACAAGAAGAGCAGCAGGTAACTAGGCCCAAAGTCATGAAGGTTGACTCTGTGGAGACTTGGGACTCGTATGTTTCCCAAGCCACCAACCAAGGCTGTCCTGTACGTCTCCTCAACCCTCTCGATTTTCAGTTTAATTCGAGCGCTGTTCTAATCTAATCTAAACTATTTGAAAAATGAGGATTCGAATTTGCGCGAGAGCAGCACACCGCTCTAGCTGACTTGGCTGTTGCACGTGAACATGATTAATTTGATCACAGTTGTGGAATTATGAGTTCGTTGTTGAATTGGTTTTTGGTTGGATGTGTTTGTAGATTATTACACATTTCACTGCTTCGTGGTGCATGCCTTCGGTGGCTATGAACTCATTCTTCGAGGAAATTGCCTCAGATTATCCGGATGTTCTGTTTCTCACCGTTGATGTCGACGAGGTTAAGGTAATTAACCTAATTTCTTCAAACAAACATATGTCTAGTCTCTATATGTATGGTTATATATAATTATCGAACCGGTAAAGTTATATGTTAGAACCCTGTTTGCATTTGGTGATGGTTTATGTTGTGAAGGAGTTTGTTCAAGCCTTTCTTGAATCTGTTACTCAACAACACTTAATTGATCTTCTGAACTCGACCAGATTCCGACCTTTTGGTCCGGTGTTTTCGAGTGATATCTAGTTTGAGGTTATGTCAAACTTTACGAGTTTTACAAACCATTTTGGTGCAAAAGAAGATTCAAAGAAATGGTAATGGAAGAGGACTAAACCTCTTTTCGGATATTGCTTGTTGAATTGAGTTTTTGGCTTGACATCAACCTCTTTTGGAGCGTTCACTCGTGTGTTTACAAACCTTTTCGCTGCGAAGAAAAGGAAGTTTGAAGACTTTCCTGTCAAGTAATTGCAGCAATCTAGCAAAAGAGAGGGACTAAAAGCTCTTATTACAGCAACTTTTCTCTAAAGATTTTGATGTTGTTTATGATGGCGATACCGATATGGATGTAAATATCTCTTTCCCTTTTGTTTTCATAGGAGGTAGCGACCCGACTGGAGATAAAGGCGATGCCAACGTTTTCGCTGATAAGGGACGGTGCAACGGTTGACAAGCTCGTGGGTGCCAATCCGGAAGAGATAAGGAAAAGGATTGAGGGTTTCCTTCAGTCCAAACGTGTGGATGTTGCGTAGAACTAGCAGCAGTGTGATATGATGCAGTTTGAAATAGTGAAATAAGTGGTTGTGAATGGTTTTAACACAGATATAAATGATAAGCTTTTTCTTTGGCTGCTGTACGGACGGCGTAAACCGAAAACCTACCGATGCTTCAGTTGATAAACTTGTCACTATAACATTTTGTGCTTTGTAATTTTGTTTCTTCTGTTCTTTCTGTCTCTAGTGATTGTGCTCTGAAGATGTTGTAATCTTTGACCTCCAGAAGTTGTAAATTGTGGTTGTAAGTGCAGTGGGAAATTCATATAAATGTGGGAAGAAGTTGTAAATTGTGCTTGTAAACGTTTCTTAAATAATACATAAGTTTTGGGCGGATAAATTAGCAGGCTTCAATCGTATAACACGGATGTGAAAAACTTAATTGCATAACTGCACCAAACAATCAGGTCTGTATTTCCTCGTACTAGCGGTCAAACAAGGCCTATTAACATCGGACTAGGATTCTTTCTCTTTTTCTTTTCATTCCTTTCTATATCCTCCTCTCAAATTTTTTATTTTGTCTTTATCTTTTTATGAAAAATTAATATAAAATATTGTTGTGATTTAACCGTGACCAATAAAATAAGAAGAGAGGAAAAGGAATGGAAAAAGAAAGAGAAGAGAATCGTTCTCCATTAACGTCAAAGCTCGTTGATTTCATGGATTGGATCCAAAATAAAAGGCCCATTTGTTTGGAATTCAAGGCCCAACTCAAAGAACAAAGGACTAAAGATAAAATAAATCAAAATAAAGGGGTGCAAAACGAAAAAACGAATAATTTTGCAGCAGCACGTTTCGTGGTGGCTGTGCAATGGCGACGCACCACCTCCATTTTTGTTTGCTTTTCCATAAATTCGCAATAAAATAATATCTCTTCCCCTTTCTCTTCCTCCCACATATATATTTCCTACCACCGAAATCCCATCGACCAAAATTCACTCAGAAAATTATTTAATAAAAAATATTAATTAGGGAATATTCCCTCCCATTGCGTTTCCCGGCCCATCACGGCGGCGCTGTCTCAGCGAGGGTTCACCGCCGGAAATTCGGAAGTTCCGGCAAGCATTAAAACATGGGATCGCCGCCGCAAAATCCCAACTGGGTCTTCGATTATGGTGTGATTGACGACATTCTTCCCTCTCTTGACCCGCCCGGTTTCTCTTGGCCGGATCATTCATTTGCCGGTCCCACCGCCCCCAGGTACCGTATTCACATTTTTTGCAATAAAGTTCATTTTTTTGCTGCAATTGGATTTTCCCTGCTGTTGAATGTGATTTGGGTGTCAATGTTTCTGTGGAGATTATTCAATTTATTTTATTACTGTTTTATTCGAAGTGTCAATTTTCAATTTTGTTTATCAATTCCGGATTTTCTTTTTAATTTTTAATTTTGGTTTGATGAGCGAGCGGTAATATAATAATATTTGAGGACTTAATTTGATGATTTATGATAAGATAATAATGAACTGCTAATAGGAAGGTCATAGGTTCGAGTCGTGAAAACAGCAAAGCAAGGGTAAGGCAGCATAACGTTCACCGACCCTCGCACAACGTAAGCTTTGTTGGCTTGAGGTTGCCCTTTTATAATAATGGACTGGAGGGAGTTTTGCGAGTCTAATATTTGTCATTAACTGCTTAATTTTGTTTTATTTGTATTCCAAATTATGAGAAATGCTGGCCGTTTTGGGTTATGAAATTGATTGATGTTATAGTAAATGTGCTTTGACCATTTAGTTGAATTTACTCCGAAGAGTCCGGAGAGGATGGCGGAATTTGATGAGTAATGTGCTTAGACATTGTGTTGAAAGTGTTCCCTTTGATCATTTTCTGGCTGTACATGTTGACCAAGATCAACTTACCTTTGTTTTGAGGACGAATTCATTTTCGTGTTGCTATTTTCTCAGCGTGGAATTTGATGACTCGTTTGGAAATCCAGATAGCATGAAGGAAACTGGGTTGCGGAAACGGTATGTTTACTCAGTCTTTTTCTTCTTCACTTGTTCAACGGATAATGAAGTACTAACCTGTTTGAGTTCATAGGTTTTTGGACTTGTTTTTGAACTTGTTCAGAATAATTTTGCTATGTATTTATCCTTCTGCTTCATCATGGTTGAATTACACATTGTTTCCATCGCAGGGCGAGGACTGGATCATGCAATGTGTCTGGTTCTAAGGCATGTAGAGAGAAAATGCGGCGGGACAGACTGAATGACAGGCATGCTCTAGTTCTCTAGTTCTCTAATGCTTAATGATCTCTCTGTTTCTCTGTTTCTCTGTCTGTCTGTCTCTCTCTCACTGTCTTTTTCGTTTTGACTTTTTTGCGTTACTTTAAGGTTAGTGGAATTGAGTTCTATCCTTGAACCTGAAAGGCCACCCAAAACTGACAAGGTTGCAATACTGGGTGATGCTATTCGAATGGTAACTCAGTTACGCGGGGAAGCCCAACAACTAGAGGAGTCAAGAGCGAATCTGCAGGAGACAGTAAATGAATTGAAGGTATGTGTGGCTTTGTCCTTCAGATTACCTTTTATTTATTTTATGGTATATATGAATATGCAGTTCGTGTGAGAAGCTTCGTTCACTTTAACTGCTTGGATGGCTGAGTGGATGCTTTTGTGTAGGCTGAGAAAAATGAACTTCGTGATGAGAAGCAGAGGCTCAAAGCAGAGAAAGAAAACATTGAGCGGCAAATGAAAGCGTTGGGTACTCAACCAAGCTTCTTGCCTCACCCTGCTGCAATTCCAACTCCGTTTTCTGCCCCGGGCCAAGTTGTTGGCGGGAAAATGATGCCCTTCGTCGGATACCCTGGAATGTCCATGTGGCAGTTCATGCCACCGGCTGCAGTTGATACCTCACAGGACCATGTTCTCCGCCCTCCCGTTGCTTGAGTTGTCAGCTTTGAATTATGGCTTCTCGGTCTTGTAGAATCCTTCAAAGTTGTTTCTCGTTAATGATTATCGTGTTCTAGTTTTCGACTTTCATTGACTGCTTTGGATAAACATTGTAGTTCTCATCAAACATTTACCTTGGTCATTTGTATAATTTTCCAAATTTTGACCTGTAAACTGATCGGGATCGACGATTTCTGTGCTGTAAGATGCAAACTTGGAGGCATTCATTACACCTTTAGCAACTTATGTTTCCTTCTATAGCAAGTATTCGAAATTGTTCTCTTGAAGATCGAGATGCTAGAGACTTTGCACGACAGGTCGTTACGAAATTGTTCTCTTCAAAATCGGGTTCTAATAATTGAATTCAATAATTAATTTTGGATTTAATTAATCTTTTATTTTTCAACAGACATATCCGAAAGGATGAAGTTTGAGAACTTCTGAAAAGTATAAGCCACACGCCTTTTACGTTGAATAGTCACCTCCCAAAATCATATATGTTGCGAACAGTTATATGACTACTTTAATTATATGCATCTACGTACTGAGATAACCACAAAGAAATACGCCAAAAACTAAGTTTTCAGGTGTTGGAATCTTAGTTTATATCGTTGAATCCTGGTGAAGCAATTGCTGACAGAACTCATAGAGGAGGGGCGAATTTCTATTTCAATGATATTGTGGTATGCAAGCCTCGATTTTATCTTTATTTTATCTGTTTAATAGTAATTTCGTTTGTTCATACTTTGTCAATATACTTAATTGCAATTCATTGTTTATTAGCATATTCGAATTTATTTCTATATATATATTTGTTATTGATTGCTAATTAATATCAAACAAGGTCTTCCATTAGGTCCAAGTACTCCATATCTTTTCTTACTATCTCTTTCAAAATCTTTATGGGTCACACATCCAACGAAGCATTATGATCTCCGCTCAAGGACGGAGCTGCCATGGGCCTAGGGGGGCGGATGCCCCCACTGAGATTTTTCTGATGCTGGCATGCTGCTCAAACTGATCTGGTTCTGCAACAGCAAAGCCCCCACTGAGATTTTTTTGGTTCCTTCGATCTGGTTCTGCAGAAGCAGAGCTGGGTCTTTGTTTATTTTTTTTCTTCTCAAAACCAGGCCAACACGACGTCATTTTGGTCATGGTAAAAAAAAAATTAAAAAAAAATGCAAACGAAACGGCCTCGTTTCGTATATGTTTGGAGAAAAAAAAAAAGTATGTTATAGTGGGGGACCGCTTGTCCCCACGGTCCCAGACTCCCATTCCATCTCTCTACTTTGTTTTCATTACCCTTTGCTACTTGCCAATCAGAGAGCAGCGTGGACCGCGGTGCTGCTCTTCCCCCAACAACTTGAAATGGAACGGAACAGGAGGAAAGTTGCTCTTCCCCCAGCCACGCCAGCAGCCAACCACTCCAGTCAGCCACTCTCTAGTCGACATATATATATTTAGGTAAATTTTTTAATTCTTAAATCCATAATCCCTAACCTTAATTAATTATTTAAGACGAATTTTTGTTTAATTGGTATAGAAATATAGAATCATATGGATATGGTCATGCACTAATATGGTTATTGACTTATTGATTATTGATATGAATTCTATGATTATTGATGAATGAAATTATGAAATTACGAATTCTATGAATATGGGTATACATTTATTCATATGATTAGTTGAATTAAATGTTTATTTGTTGAATAATTTGTATGCTTATTGGTATTGGTTAATTGAATTATCGCCTTGGTTGGATCTTGGTTTGATTAGATTGCTATGTTAATCAAAATGTCCCCTGTAGTATGTTATAGGGTTAAAGTTTTACATAAGTGTTTTTTATGTAACAACCCGTCCTGAGAATTACGTAAGAAAATAGGTATTTTTGTATTTTCACTAAGTTTGAGGGATACCTTCCTTTTCAAAATTGTTTTTGAACCTTAATTGGTGAGCCCAAGGGACCCACCCCCTGTTTTGTCCCCCGGTTCCCTTTCCCTTTTTTTTTTTTTTTTTTTTTTTTTTTTCTGAAAAGTCTCTCTTCTCTCTTCTTCATCTCTCTTTCTCCATTCCCCCTCTTGGTGCTCTTTTCTCCGAGCAGAACACACCCACACACACACACACACACACACACACCCATGCCCACACCTATAGCTCTTTTCGAACCCCGTGGTTGTGTTTTGGACGTCAAACCACGAAGAAACCACCTCGGAGACATTTCCCAGTTTTCCGGCGAGCACTGCCCCTTTCGAGGCAATTTCCGGCCAAATCACGGTGAGTTGGCCGGCGTGAAAGGTATCAATCTCTTCGTCTCGCTGAGTACTACAACTTTCCTTTTTGTTTCACCCAATTTCATTGAGTATTGAAGAAGTTATGCTCATTTGAATCTTACCCAGTTTCCGGCGGACACCCGTGGCTTCCAAGCTGTTTTCCGGCCAACTACGACCACTGATGACACGAACCAAGGGTATATTTCAATTCCTTACCTTCGGGGCTTCAATTTGGTATATTGAATGACATGTTTTGGTTGAGTTTTGAGCTCCATCGGAGCTTGGGAATTCTTCGGCCGAAATCCGGCCTTCACCCTCCTTGGAAATCCGGCGAACCACCCAAACCCAAGGCCTTTGGGCCTTTCCTGCCAAGCCCAAAAACTTGGGTAGCCCAAACCCATAACCCTTTTATTTAGGCCTTTGGGCCGTATGGTTTCTAACCTAAAACCCAACCCACCTAACCTAACCCAATTACGCTAACCCAAAACCCTAGCCCAAAACCCTAACCCAAAACCCTAAGGCCCTGACCCGTGACCCTGACCCGTTGACTGTTGACTGGGTCGACGGTCAGCGTTGACTTTTGACTTTCACCAGTTAACGGTCAACGTTGACGTTGACCGTTGACTTTTTGGGTTTTCATGCGGGACCCCTCCTAAGCTAATTTCGACGTTCTAAACCTGTTTCCGATGTTCGTTTCCCCAAATTCAATCGTTTGAGTAGAGTTTGACTAAATGTACCCTTTATGTGCTTAGGGGCGATTATCTGTGGCGTTTCCTTCTTCGCTAGATGGCGTGGCTTTTCGACGGCGAAGTACTGTGAGTGGACCCCTTCTAAAAATGCATGTTTTGATAGTACAAATGCATACATGAAAAGCATGATTTGATGATTATGTTTTATGAAACGTTTTACGAGATAACATGCTTACTGAGACTAGTTTGAATTATTACTATTTTTCCTATAACCCATGTTCTTATAGAATATTTGATGGATGACGATATGATATTTAGAACATGTTTAGAACACCTCTTTATAGTATAGATGATGCATGACTTTATACTATGAAGTTGATTTTCAATATATGTATGTTCACTGGTTTTGTACTTACTTAGTGGTCCTTTCCGCTACGGGACGTAGGGATATATCCGGTCCGTCCCGGGCGACGGTTGGGTGTTGGCATAGGGCCTGAAGTGTGTTTTCCTCTGACTGTCTGCTCAGAGACGAGGAGCCGGCACGGGGCCTGAAGTGTATTTTCCTCTAACTGTTGGTTCAGAGACGGGGAGCCGGCACGGGGCCTGAAGAGTTATATCGGACATTCACTAGTGTTTATTATTTATGCGATTTATGATTTAAAACATTGCACGACAGGCTAGGGTTTGGAAAACCTATATTTATCATTATATATATGTGTTTTCAAAAAACCTGGGGGTTAGTATGTTGATAACTGTTTTATTATATATATATATATATATATATATATCAACCTGGTCCACTCATGTTTGTTTTGCGCCCCCTTCAAGACTTAGAATCGAGGCATACAATCCCGACGTCTAGGCACTTCCACATCGGCATCTTCGAGTCCTCTCGATGTAGGACCCACTCCTTTGTTTCATTCAATTTTATATTATTTTCTTTTAGTGTTCTAGATTAGAGGTGTGCTCTGAACATGATCCTTATTTGCATATTAATTATTCTTTTATATTTATAAATCTTATTTATCCCTTATTTTCAGCATTTGCACTTAATAAATGGCTTTCGTCACCCTCGGGTGTCGGCCAGCACGTGCCTATCCTGGTATTCGGGGAATATCCGGGTCGGGGCGTGTCACTTTAGCAACTTGGTTTCAAAAGGTCTCAGTTGCATATCTAACTTGTTTCTCATGTGTTTTCATCCTGAAGGTTAGAAAAGATGGGATTTTTGTTGAGATTTTTATTCTAAGAATTTTATTGAGATTTTTATTCTATAAATTCTAAAAATTACGTATGAATCTTATATGTTATTGGTATCAATATGAATGACTTTGCAGACTGAAACATCATGGAAAGGCTTTTCAAGAAAATATCAGTGCCACCATCCTCAGTTATTGAGAAAAATAATGATACTCGTGGACAGGATAATACAGAATTTATTTTATCAAATCTTCCATCAGATCCTGGTAAGCGAATTCGAATTTTGGATTACAATCCTAATATTCGAGATCAAGTACGAAGAGCGTATGTGCTAGCTGGTCCTCAACAACCTAAAACCCATAATTTTCCTTACAAGAAATATGGAGACACGCAAAGGCGATTCAACCCTGCTTGGTTGGATGATTTTCCTACTTGGTTGGAATATAGTGTAGAAAAAGATGCTTGCCCTTTGTCTGTGTTGCTACATTTTTAAACCAAACATTGGAGAACAAGTAGGTGGTGATTTCTTTGTTGGCGAAGGATTTTCTAACTGGAAGAAGAAAGAAAGACTTCTAACTCATATTGGAGGTGTCAATAGTGCACACAATCAAGCATGGAGTAATTTTGAAGCTTTAAGGAGTCAAAAGCAACATATCCAGTCTTTTTTCTCTAAAACTCATGATGAAGCTCGAATTCAATATAGAGCTCGGTTGAATGCATCAATTGATTGTTGTCGATTTCTTTTGAGACAAGGGCTTGCATTTCGTGGTAATGATGAATCTGAACATTCAAGCAACCATGGAAATTTTCTTGAGCTTCTACAGTTTCTTGCCGACCACAATGAGGATGTGAAAGCCGTTACTTTGAAAAATGCTTCGGAGAACCACAAATTGACATCACCAGATATTCAAAAAGACATTGTAAATGCTTGTGCAACTGAGACGATCAAGGCTATTATTGAAGACGTTGACACTTCGTTGTTCTCTATTTTGATTGATGAATCTTGCAATGTATCAACGAAGGAACAAATGGCTATTGTATTGCGTTATGTGGACAAGAATGGGCATGTCGTTGAGCGTTTTATTGGCATTGAGCATGTTACTAGTATTGATGTTCTCTCACTCAAGGAAACCATTGATGAGGTATTTTCTAGGCATAAATTGAGTATGTCTAGGTTGCATGGGCAAGGTTATGATGAGGCCAGCAATGTGTAAGGTGAATTCAATGGTCTTAAAGCTCTTATTATGAAAGAAAGTGGTTGTGCCTATCATATTCATTGCTTTGCACATCAACTTCAATTAGCTCTTGTAGTTGTGGCAAAGAAGAACATCCAAATTGAGTCTCTTTTTAATATAGTTACTATTTGGGTAAATGTTGTTGGAGCTTCATCGAAGCGTTGTGATCTTCTTCGAGAGAAGCAATCTATTGCAGTTATTGAAGCACTAAACAGTGGTGAGTTTACAAGTGGGAAACACAAAAATCAAGAAACTACTTTGAAACTTGCTGGAGAAACACGTTGGGGTTCACACTTTGGTACTTTAGTAAGTATAATGACTATGTTTTCATCCATACTTGATGTACTTGAAGTAATAGCAGATGATGGAAAAAGCTCTCAACAAAGATGTGAAGCGAATAATTTATAAGATTCCATGCAATCATTTGATTTTGTGTTTAATCTACACTTGATGAAAGATATACTAGGAATAACTAATGAATTGTCACAAGCATTACAAAGGAAGGATCAGGATATTGTAAATGCCATGAAGTTGGTTGGAGTTTGTCAGCAAATGTTGGAGATAATGAGGAAAAGTGGTTGGGATTCTTTACTTAGTGAAGTCTCAGAATTTTGTCTTAAACATGATATTGATGTGCCTAATATGGATGATATGTTTCTTTCTTGAAGGCGAGGGCAAGGAAAAGCACAAGAAGTCACAAATATGCATCATTATTGTGTTGGGATATTTTTTGTTGTTTTGGATTGGCAGCTTCAAGAACTAAATAATCGTTTCAATGAGACCAACATTGAGTTACTTCTTTGTTTGGCATGTTTATGTCCAGCCGACTCCTTCTCTGCTTTTGATAGCCAAAAGCTATTGAGTCTTACCCAGTTTTATCCTAAAGACTTCTCTATGAATGAGCTGGTGATACTTAAGATTCAACTTGAGACTTACATTTTGGATATGTGGTCTAGCATTGAGTTTTCAGGTTTAAAAGAGATTGGAGATCTTGCAAAAAAAATGGTTCAATGCAAGAAACACAAGGTGTATTCGCTGGTTTACTTGCTTGTGATATTAGCACTAACTCTTCCAGTTGCTACTGCAACCGTTGAAAGAGCATTTTCAGCCATGAAAATTCTGAAGAATTGATTGAGAAATCGGATATTAGATCAATGGATGAATGATAACATGATTATTTTTATAGAGAGAAATATTTGATGGTATTGGTAATGATGTTGTCATGCAACGCTTTCAGAACATGAAGACGCGTCGAGGGATATTGTAAGGGACTGTTGTATGAAAAACTTTATGGATTAATATATAAGTATTGTGTTTAGTAAATTTTTGAGCTTTGTAATTATGACTTTATTGATTGAGGATGCCCCCATTCACACAAATCTTTGGCTTCATCCCTGTCTCTGCTACACTCATTTTTGGCACGTGTTGTTTTTTGACTCCCCAACATTCCAAGTAAGATCTCTATCAAATTCTCCATTCTTTTACAAGATAGATCCAAGATAACGAAAACGTTCACTCTTTAGTACTTCCTGATCTTCAATCCTCACCTCTATCTTATATGGACTTCCATTTCCATTGAACTTGCCTTTCATACATTCTGTCATCGCGCAAATACAACATACTTAATTAAATAGTAAACTCTTGAGACGGAATTTCACCGCCTCTTTGTTCCCACACAATACCTAAGAAGCCCATCCACCCCAACACGGCCGCCCTCCACCAACGCGAACGACTTGAGCTTGGCGAATGAAGATGCATCACTAGGTTTAAGCAGCACAGAGACGAATGCATAGACCAGAGCACAAGAAACCAAACCCACCAAGAGGCGGACGAGAGAAGATCAATGTGGGGCTTCTCGGTCGTTTTGCTTCCAACCGATTTGAGAACAGGGGGAGAAGAGTGAGACTCAGAAGGGAATTTAGGGTCTCTGGGCAAAGATTTTTTATTTTTTTATTTTTTATCAAATGATAGATTTTGTTAGATTAAATGTTAGATTAGAGAGTTTAGAGATTATGGCGTTGACTTTGGACAAGATTGATCATGGTGAGAAAGAGGGGAACAAAATAATAGGGAACTGGTGCGACGTCTAGGAGGGACAGATGAGATGAGAATCGGGAGAAAATGAGGGAGAGGAGAGAGAGTGTTGGTAGAAAATAATTAGTGGATTAATAATAAAAAGAGTAATAAAATATGGATGAATAGTGTGTCTTTTTAGGTAATTATACATATTCATTATGTTTTTATATAAAAGTTTATTAAACACTTCGATACTACTTTTGGACTCAAAGCACTTTTGCAAATCTAATTCACCAAATACATGTCATTTAGTAATACAGTCTAGTGATATTCATTTTCACTTGTATGTGAGAGGTCTAGGTTCAATTCTTGCCAAAGACGAGTTTGAACTATATTATTGCTAGCCCATTGTGAGACTAAGCCTACTCCCTCCCCTTTAGTGTAGATAATATTATTGGTTAAAAAAACACCAAAAATCTAATTGTTTTATTTCACAACTGATTATTTTTACAGCATAATAAAAACAGTTTTTTTTTCAAAATACAGCAATACCAAACTAGTCCTTAATCTCTCACACAAGGTCCCAAGCTCATAGCAATTACCTAAACAAGAGTAAATTGTTGCACCATTGAAAAGAACAATGAACCATGTAAACGCTAAATTACACATCATAATAAAAAGAAATGCAGTTTCCATCTAAAGAGTTATCTAGGATATACTTCGGTTATCATCGAAACCTCTTTTTCTGGTGCTTTGACAGAGCTGCTCTTGGATCGATCCGACCCGGTTGTCATCACCTCTGAACTATTCCTCCATCCCAAAGACATGTCAGATCCAACGTTACTATCCCTGAAAAATGCTGGTTGTGAGGGTACTGGAAGTGTGACTGAGTAACTATTAAGCATTAGAACAATAGCATTCATGGTTGGCCTATCAGCTATATTTTCTTGCACACACAGTAACCCAATGTGGATGCATTTCATTATTTCATTTCTTGAACCATTCGTCAATGTGGGATCGATTAGATTCGAAGCTGTCCCTTGCCTCCAACATATCCATGCCTGCAACGATTGTAAAATTTGTAGAAACATAATTAGGGGTTTAATTATTTTTCTTGATTGCAATATGCATGTTGTTTCAAGTACTTACATAGCTTAGAAGATCCTCCACATTTTGTCCATGACGAAAGCAATTATTTTTCTGTCCGCTTACTATCTCCAAAACTAAGACACCAAAACTATAAACATCCGACTTAACAGAAAAGTGCCCATATAATGCATATTCTGGAGCCATATATCCACTGCATATCAATAACAAGAATAATGTTGTTTTTAACATTGACATATTGAATTATTGATATAGATTTACACAATTCTAATACAAGCCACGTAGAATCGTCAAGCACTTACTAGGTCCCCACAATTCGACTGGTGTTGCCTTGTGTTTGATCAAGCACGAACAACTTTGCCATGCCAAAATCTGATATTTTGGGGTTCATTTCTTCATCTATCAATATATTACTAGCTTTGAGATCACGGTGAATAATTCTTAGCCGAGAATCCTCATGAAGGTAAATAAGTCCTCGAGAAATGCCTATTATGATTCTGTAGCGCCTATTCCAATCCAATTGTGTGCGCTTAATTGGGTCTGCATTTTAATTAAAAACAAGAATATAACGTTTGTTGTATGTTACATTATGATAAAATTTTGAAGTTAAAGCCAAAAAGGAGAAGAAGATCACACTGATGCATAAATACCAAATATGATGTGGTCGAGACTTGCATTAGGGACAAACTCATAAATAAGAAGCCTTTCAATTCCTTCCAAGCAGAAACCCAAGAGCCTAACTAAGTTCCGGTGTTGAAGCTTTGCCACTAACAAGACCTCATTTTTAAACTCCAAATCTCCTTGTCCAGAATTTACGGAAAGCCTTTTCACTGCTATTTCTTCTCCATTCAATAACCTACCCTGGAAGAGTATCAAAACAAAAAGGTTTGCATTGGTGTTGCCCGTGTGATGTTGTCAAGATTTCAAAGGCATGTTAGGTTTTATCACAATAAGCCGGCCTCGGTGTTACTAATAGTGGAATAATTGTTATGTTGTATTTTATTTCGTCAGGTATGAAGTGAGATTTTATATTCTTCAATATACATACATACATACATACATATATACATAGATACATATATATATATATATATATATTACCTTATAAACAGAACCAAATCCCCCTTGTCCTAGTTTATTGGCTTCAGAAAAGTCATCTGTGGCAACTCTAATGGTGTCAAAATTGAATTGCAAGGATTCTACCCTTCCCATTTCGTCCGCATCTTCTCCTGGGGTACAAATTTAACAAAATTTACATAAGTTCATATCTAAAATAGTTAGATCTAGATGTTGTAACAGTAGTAAGCTTCTCCACTTGAAGGAAATTGAGTTAAATGTTGCTGTGTTTATTTTGTCACAGTACGTACGTACCTGGGACTAAACTACTTTGAATCTTTTTCCTTGCCTTCCGTACTCTTAGACAAAAGCACATTAACATAACTAGTAACAAAGAAGCAATAATTGGCACAAAAATAATGATGACAATCCGAGATTTGTTGCTCTTCGATCCTGCAAAGTAAAATCAGAAATATATCTTTTTTTTTTAATTTTTTTAATTTTTTAGAAAACCTCGACGGTACGAGGAGAAGAAATATATGTTTTTTCATTGATCAATTAAATGGAGACCAGTGTAAAGCAAATTACTAGAATCATAGGTGTATGTAATGGAGTATACATACATATACGTTGTGCATACATACCTTGTGAAGTATTTGTGGTATTGTTTGATGGTGGAAGAGAAGATACTGATGGTGGCATTGATAGTGGCACGGGTGGCGGGCCTGGCGGCGATGTCAATGGTGTAAAAGTTGTAGGGTCAATGAAGCTGAAAACCTCGAATCTAAAGTTACAGCTAGGACTAAAAACTCTCCCACCTTCTGTCCCTTCACAACATTTGTGGATATCTACAAAAGCTCCGCCTAAGCAATCACTGCACGCTTGCTTGGATATGTCCGGCGTGCACTGCGCTAGTGCATATACTGTTTGGGAAGTTGGGACACTTGCGTTTCCATATGCAAACTTCCGAAGAGAACCACCCGCTGCAGCCTCATTTCTTATCCTGTCCGCTACCTTCCTCAGCTCTTGGTTGAATCCATCCAGGCCTGACGACGATATGTTATTAGGATTCTGCACATAGAAAGAAGGACTAGCTTCCATAACGCCATAGAAGGAGCGGTTTGAGTAGCGTAGCATGCATTCGTCGTGCCAACCAATTGCTTCCTTCTGATTAGGGCAACGCTGAGGCAGAGCATATCGGGAGTTATTTAGGCAGGTGCGGCAATCTTCCGCCATGACATCTCCTCTACAAAGTCCGATTGCATAAATTTGTTCGTTCGACGAGTTTTCACCATAGGATGCATTGTAAAAACCGTACCCGTCACCGTTTTTTTCAGAGGGCAGGGAGGAGAGAAGGCGGTTGAGGTTTGTCTGATAGGTGCTATTGGTGGCATAGTTTCCATTCTCGTTTACACAGAAGTGGTGTAGAAAATCTGGAACTTGACCAAGGGCTTGATTAATCATGAGAAACAGAATGGGATAGAGGCAGTATAGAAATCTTGAGGAAACCATTGCTGGCATTGTTTGATATTTTTGCTGAAATTGGTTTGTAAAAGGGGATTATAAATTTATAATTATGACAGAAAACTTGCTAGATTTCTATATATGAAGAATGAAGAACACCCCACTTTATGCAATGCATGTGATGAGGATGTAAGGTTGATAGAGATGGGAGTGGTGGGCGACATGCCAAATTTATCGAAGTCGTCGTTTGACTGGTACCGTGATTGGTACGCTGGGAGTACTGGTCCCAAAACAACTCTTAGTCTTTCTCTTACACAAAGCTGACAAGAGTATTGAATCCACCACAAATCTCTCCACCACATCTGCTTTCAAAACGTGATCCCACCATTCTCTCCATATTGTTTATATAAATAATCAAGAGTTATTAGTTACCTTTTATGTTGTACAAAGTCAACTATAAGCTTGTAAATATCTTGTATCAATATGATAAGCAAATCAAGAAATTCATTTTGTAATACATACGGCTTTTCCCTACTCTTCTCTGTCTGTCACTATCTATTTCTATATATGGTATCATCCTTTCTCACAAGCTAACTGCTTCCTAACGTTCGATCCTTTATACGCCCCCACCACCCCAATCTCCACTGCCTCCTCTAATTCCTCTCATTCTTCAACCATGGCCGCATCTATTGCTTCCCTCCCCACCACCTTCAACATCTCCCACACCATCAATACTCCCATGGACAGAAATAATTATCTCAGTTGGTGATCCTAATTTTCCGACATTCTTGAAATTCATGGTCTGGAAGATGTCGTGACCACCAATACCAAACCTCCAAAGAAGCTTGATGATGGATCTCTTAATTCGAATTATTCTTGGGACAAACTTGTCCTCAGTTGGATCAAGTCTACTTGCTCACCATCTATCCGCTCTATACTGCTTCCTTGCACCTACGCCTTCAATGCTTGGTCTCTTCTCGAAAAGCGTTTGTCTCCTGTCTCCAAGCTCACATCGGCACCCTTCGTGAACAACTCCGCACTCTAAAAAAGGATTCAAAGAAGTCCATGTCTAATTATTTGCTGCATGCCAAAAGCCTTGCGGATTCACTTACCGCTGTTAGCTCCATTATTTCTGACGAGGAACTCATTGAAAGCCTCTTGGACGGTCTTGGTCCTGAATATAAAGAGTTTACAATAGCAGTTCATCTTCGATCTTCTCTCTCATACGATGACTGCTACGACCTGCTCCTTCAAGAAGAACATCTCATAAAAAAGATGTACACTCTTTCCTTGTCCAGTAGCGCTGCTTTTGCTGCCTCTCGTCGTCGTGCTGGTTCGTCTCATTCTACCTACAATGGTCACCGATCATCTTCCTCACATCACTCGTTTAGACAAGGCAATGGTCGTGGTCGACATTGGCGTTCTTCAAATCAAAACCGTCAAGCCAACTGGAATCCTCCTCGGCCTAATCCCAGTTCATCGACCGACACTCGATCACCTCTTCTTCCCACACCGTCACTGCTACCTAAGCCACCGACATTTGAATATGATGGCTACTATCAACTTTGTGAAGAATATGGTCACAAAGCCCGCCAGTGTCCCACCCGAGGAAACTTTGCCTATCTAGCAACTGCGGACTCTCCCTCGTCAACACCTTGGGTGGTCGATTCTGGCACCACAAATCACATGACCAATGATCCTTCCGCTCTCACACAAATCCAACCATACACAGGTACTGATACTATTGTTGTGGGCAACGGAAATCACCTGCCTATATCTCATGTCGGTAAATCCTCTATATCTGGTTTACATGGACCTATGTTGCTAAAAGATGTGTTATGTGTCCCTGCCATTAAGAAGAACTTATTATCTCTTCGTCGATTTTGTTATGACAATCACTGTTTTTTTTAGATGGATGATCGTTCTTTTCGTGTGAAGGACAAGAAAACGGGCCAACTCCTTCTGATTGGGCATAACTATGGCTAACTTTACTATATTAGAGCTACTCCTCACGTAACTCCCAAGCTTGTGTTTTATGGCGAACGGACGACTAGCGATGTATGGCATGCTCGCTTGGGTCACCCCTCCACTGTTATCTTTCAAGTTTTGGTAAATAAATACCACATCCCCATTAGTGGTGCATTTTCATCTAATAAAAAAATGTCATATTTGTCCAATTGGCAAGGCTTGTCGTCTTCCATTTTCCTCTCGGACGTCCATGACTCAATATCCTTTAGACCTCTTACACCTTGATGTATGGGGCCCCGCTCCTATTATGTCTAATTTTGGCTATAAGTACTATTTATCTATGGTGGATGATTATTCAAGATTTGTGTGGTTGTTCCCTCTTGTTCGTAAGTCCGATGTCATGACTACCTTTGTTACTTTCAAATACATAATTCAAAATCGTTTGAATCGCACTATTAAAGTATTACAAACAGATGGTGGTGGTGAATTCACTAGCCTTGCATTTCGGCATTTTCTTCGTGATCATGACAGAACACACCAACTCTCTTACCCACATACGCCACAACAAAACGGTATAGTTGAGCACAAACATCGCCATGTTACTGAAATGGGTCTATGTCTCCTTGCTCAATCTCATATCTCGCAAAATTTTTGGGTGGAGGCATTCACAACCGCTGCATTTCTTATCAACCGATTGCCTCTTCATAATCTTGGGAATGTTTCTCCTTATGAAAAACTCTTAGCCAAAGTTCCTGATTACCGATTTCTTAAGACATTTGGGTGCACATGCTTTCCTCACTTGGTTCCTTACAACAAACATAAGTTGATGCCCAAGTCCATCCCATGTGTCTTTATTGGTTACAACAACTACTACAAAGGCTACCGTTGTCTCGATGTTGCTTCTGGTAAGGTGTATATTTCTCGCAATGTACAACTTGATGAACTCACCTTTCCGTATAAAGACCGCAGGACATATTCTCCTCCTCACGAGCAGTCCCATTAACCATTATTTTTGGAGCCACTGACGCATGCGGTAACACCTATTCTTCCTTGCACCGTATCCCAGCCCACCACACCATTTCAGCAAGCAGCAGCAACATCCCAGCGACAAGAACTACAACCACTGACGCATGCAGCAGCACTTGTGTCTCCCAGCAACATTCCAACAACTGCTTCTGATCCTCCTACGCCCCATTCTTCATCCACGGCTATTGTAGCGCCTATACCTACTTCACCTGTAACACATTTTCAGTCATCTGCAACCACTATTGCTTCTTCACTACAACCTGTCACTTCTCCAGACTCTACTCCTCCACGCAAATTTGGAAGCATCAATGCCCTCACTTACGACTCGCCTAGACATCCCCTTCCTCGTGGTTTAACCGCAGTCCTTGAAGATCCTATGTCCATTGAGCCCACTAGCTATACTCAAACATCTAAATTCTTGCATTGGCAGCAAGCGATGAAAGAGGAACATGATGCACTTTTTCAGAATCACACTTGGTTTCTTGTTCCTATTACTCCTCATATGAATATTGTGGGATGCAAATGGGTATTTCATGTTAAACGAAGGGCCGATGGCTCCATTGACCGCCACAAGGCTCGTCTCGTCGCCAAGGGGTTCAATCAACAAGTTGGGGTTGACTACGACGAGACCTTTAGTCCTGTTGTTAAACCAGGTACTATCCGTACCATTTTTACCTTAGCAGTCTCACAAAATTGGTCATTGCAGCAACTTGACGTTTAGAATACTTTCCTGAATGGTATTCTTCACGAAGAAGTTTATATGAAACAACCACCTGGCTTTGTTGATTCCAACCACTCCCAGTATGTTTGTTGCCTTCACAAAGCTCTTTATGGCCTCAAACAAGCACCTCGCGTTTGGTTCCAGCGTTTTGCCTATTTCTTGTGTAATCAAGGCTTTTCCCATAGTAAATCGGATGCATCCCTATTTATTTACCATTCCTCTACATACTCATTCTATGTTCTGGTATACGTTGATGATCTCATTGTCACAAGTTCAAACAATGATGCTATTCACAGGTTCCTTGATAAACTATGTACCACCTTTGCTAGCCGTAAGTTAAGTGACCTTCATTTTTTTCTTGGAATGGAAGTTACTCGACAAGGCAGCTAACTATCTCTCGCTCAAAGCCGTTATGCATCTGATTTACTACAGAAATTTAAGATGGACCAGTGCAAGCCCAGCCCTACACCATTCATCTCCTTATTACGTTTGTCTGCTTATGATGGTGATCCTATCTCGGATCCTGATGTTTATCGGAGCATGGTTGGCGGACTTCAGTATTTGACTCTAACCCGCCCCGACATTTCCTTTGTCGTTAATCAAGTTTGTCAGTACATGCACAACCCTAAATCAACATATCTTCAGGCCGTCAAACGTATCTACCGCTACATCAAAGGGATTGTTGAACAAGGTCTTTTATTTCGTTCATCTCCAGACTTCTCCATTCGAGGCTTTTTTTATACTGACTGGGCCGATTCCATTGATGATCGTCGCTCAACAAATGGTGCTTGCATTTTTCTTGGTCCTAACCTTTTTACATGGATCGCCAAAAAGCAATCCACCATGTCTCGTTCTAGTTCCGAAGCAGAATATCGTGCTCTTGCCACCACAGCTGCTGAAATTCGTTGTTTTGTTATCTCTTCTGTGAACTAGGCATTCTGCTTCGTACTCCACCTTGCATTTTCATCGACAATGTCTCTGCCCTTCACATGGCAGCCAATCCTGTTTTTCATGCGCGTACTCATCACATAGAGATTGACTACCACTTTGTTCACGAGCTTCTTGCCCACGGTGTCCTTCAAACTCGACACATCTCCTCTCATCATCAAATCGCTGATATCTTCACCAAAGGACTTTCCCCCGATCGATTCTCTTTTCTTGGTTCCAAGCTCAATCTACACTTTGTTCCGTTTCGCTTGAGGGGGGATGACAAGAGTATTGAATCCACCACAAATCTCTCCACCACATCTGCTGTCAAAACGTGATCCCACCATTCTCTTCATATTGTTTATGTAAATAATCAAGAGTTATTAGTTACCTTTATGTTGTACAAAGTCAACTATAGGCTTGTATATATCTTGTATCCATATAATAAGCAAATCAAGAAATTCATTTTGTAATACAAACGGCTTCTCCCTACTTTTCTCTGTTTGTCACTATCTATTTCTCTATAAAAGCCTCACAAGACTTAATGCAATTACCTAAACAAGAATGAATTAATATTGCACCATTGAAAAGCAAAAATGAAACAAATAAATGCTAACTTACTCATTATATTTTCAAATGTTCCATCACCTCTGAACTAATGTTCCATCCCAAAGACACGTCAGATCCAATGCTACCATGCCTGAAAAATGCTGGTTGTGAGGGTACCAGAAGTGTGACTGAGTAACTATTAAGCATAAGAACAATAGCATTCATGGTTGCCCTATTAGCTATATTTTCTTGCACACATAGTAACCCAATCGGGATGCATCTCAATATTTCATTTCTTGAACCATTAGACAATGTGGGATCTATAAGATTTGAAGCCATCCCTTCACATCACCATTTCCATGCCTGCAACGATTGTAATATTTGTAGAAATATTATTACGGATTTAATTATATTTCTTGGTTGCAATATCCATATAGCTTTAAGTACTTACAGCAGCTTAGAAGATCTTCCACGTTCTCTCCATGATGAAAGCAATTATTTTTCTATCCGCTTACTATCTGCAAAACTAAGACCACTAAAATTATAGACATCCGACTAAATAGAAAGGTGTCCATGTATTGTATATTCTGGAGTCACATATCCACTGCATATCGAAAACAAGAATAATGTTGTTTTTGTCACTAACATATTGGATTATTGACATAGATTAACATAATTATAATATAAGCCATGTAACCTCGTCAAGTACTTACAAGGTTCCCATAGTTCGACTGGTGTTGCCTTGTGTTCGATCAAGCACGAACAAATAATTCTAAGTCGAGAATCCTCATGAATGTAAATGAGTCCTCGAAAAATGCCTACTATGATTTTGTAGAGCCTATTCCAATCCAATTGTGCGCGCTTGATTGGATCTACATGTTCAATTAAAAACAAGTTTATAATGTTGGGTAATGCTAGGGAGACCAACTATTTCGATCAATTTTTATAAACCATATAATATGGTTGTTGATTATTGAATTATTACTGAAGTATTGATTAACATGCTTATTTTCTATTGGTGACATCACATGATTTACAAGTAGCTTGTAGCAATACATGTGAGCACCGAGCAGTATATATATGAACCGTAGAGAGTTTGCTTTCCCCACAAGAATCCTAAGCCTAGTTGCACGCAGATGAACTCAACTCATGTGTTTATGTTGTCATGAGCAATATGTACATGTGTGTGTGACTGGCCAGCATCCAGAACAAATTCAAATATAGAACATACACGAGGAATTAATTGTGTTATATTACATGAGAAAACATAGGGTAAGTTTCTCGTAACTTCCAATAAAACACATAATTTCAATCATTTAATCATCAGATTTTCATATTTGTAGGTAAAGACATGATGTCATAACATGTGGACTACTAGTTAGAATGTTTGACATGTGTCGAGATTCTCTCCAAATCTCTATGTTTGGAGCCCAAAGACTCGAAGATCTGGATCATTGACGAGAGAGAATTAGAGAGATCTGAACCTATGGTTTGTGTGAGGTGGGCCAATAAAATTGACTAATGAGAGTCGTAAAATTTAAAATGAGTAGTCCAAATCTCCATAATGATGGTAGTGTTATAGTCTAGACCCTGCAATTACTGGCATGTGGGTTGGTCCATATGTTTTTTGCATTTTCTTTTCTGATGAAGGTTTGTCTATTCTATGTTCTTCTTCTTTTTGTTAATTAATTTGTTTATTCTATGTTCAGGTCTTGATATTCGTCGCTTCATTTAGACAGACGGTGCTTTTGTAGTTTTGAACCCGTTTAAGTTTCTTTCCATGTGTTTTTGATAGAATGATATGCTAGCTAATTTCACAGCATATGCTTTTCTCAAATCCACGAAGATAATAAGAAAGGGTAATTACATTTTGTATCTTTCATATTTGAGGTAATTTTAAAATGGGGCTATTAGGTTTTAAATTTTTCAAGTTGCACTGTAAAATTTTGAATTTTTTATCAATTTTTGTCTTATGTCTGTTTGAATGTTCATTCCTCGGTCAAATTGATGACATGTCGTATGTGTGAACCATTTTTATCTAGGCTGGCATACGTATACGCCACACTTGCACTTTTTGGACCAAATTGTACGATCAATATTCGTTTTAGGATCGATTTAGGATAAGTCGAAGCTCAATAATGAGATATTTTTGTTCTTGTGAAGCAAATGTAGCTTACACGTTAGTCCATGATGGATCTCAAACTTGTAATGCCATCAATTTAAGGAACATATATGTTCAAATAATTTGAAAGTATATATTAATTGATTCGATTTCAAATATTATGAGAAAATTGAAATGCAAAATGTTGTTAGCCGTGATCGAATTAAGTCACCGTCAATAGGCCAAAAGCGGAAGTCCTAAATGGTTGATAAATTAACTTGACGAACCCCAATTCTTTATGTCATGCATGCACGCGTGCATGTTGGTACTTTTTGATTGGCTGGACTTTACGAATTAGCACCAAATCCACACCATTTAGATCTTGAATGCTTTACATGAAGACCAAGACCTAAGGAGATTTATTTTTGGTCGGTGAGGTAAGCAGATACATATCATGCACGCGGAGGATGAATAATAATGAATTTCTGATGTTTGGGTCCCTTGCCCACTTGAACACTTCCAGTTAGTCCTTTCTAATCTTGATTAGGGAAAATAAGCATTTGCCTCATTACTATATAAGTAATGTGATGTTCCGCCTTGTGTTTTAGGCACACTGAAAAATCTCTTCTCTTATGGTCCCTTGAGTGCGCTTAATTTGATCTACATACAAGGTTATAATATTTGTTGTATGTTACATGAATGAGATTTTATGATAAAATTTTGAGATAAAGCTAAAATGTACAAGAAGATCTTGAAGCATAATACCAAATAAATATGATGTAGTCGAGACTTGCTTTACGAACGAACTCATAAATAAATAAGAAGCCTTTCAACTCCTTCCAAGCAGAAACCCTTGGAACTGTGGGAATAAGAGGAGCACGCTGTTGGGATATATAAAGATCTAATCCTGCTTGGATTAGGGAAGTATTGGTTTCCTCTTTCATTAGGAAACTTTTCCCTTTTTTTTAAATCTTCCCTTTCTGATTCTTCCTGGTTAGGGTAGGTAATTTTCCTTTTAAATTTCCAATTCCATATGGGCCTGGGTTGGTCTCTTTACGGCGTGGCCCGTATACGTATTCAGTTGGGCTCCTTTCGAATTGTAGAATTCCTTTTGGGTGTTCTTTTTGCTGGACGTTCTAGGTGTTGAGCTACTATTGCTATTTTATTGTTACCTCAAACATCACCACTAGACATTTCTTCCTCGGTTTTTTAGCCAAAATGATTTATAAGATTTGTATAACTTTTTATTTTGATTTTTGAGATTTGAAATTAATAGAAATAGTTTCTGAGTTTATCAACCATCAGTTATTTTGGTCATTCAATGAAAAATCTTCATTAAATAAAGCTAAAATGACAAAAATACCTTGAATTTTTGTCAAATCATTTGGCCTATTGTTTATTAAACTGAGGGTATTTTTGTCAATTTAGTCCTTATTTAATATAATTTTTCATGGAATAACCAAAATAATTGATGGTGAACAAACTCAGAGACCATTTATATTGATTTCAAATCTCAGGAACCAAAGTGATGAGTTATGCAAATCTCAAGATCATTTTGGCTACAAAAGGCTTTCATTCTCACGACATGCATCTTGTTGCCAATTAGTAACATGTCTAGTGATATTATTCTAGTAAATATATTGTTGTATTAAAAAAAATATTAAATACATTTGTTCACATATGGTAAAGTAGCATTTTTGTCCTCCTATATCAGGACATGACATGGCTATCCGATTAAATTACATGGTCACATGATGTATATGCATTTATATACCCAAGTTCCGGAACTCAAGAATTTGCCTTATACGGACGGTCCAAACAAAATTTCCAATTTAGCATCGCCTCGTATACAGTTCTACCTAGCTAGTCAATTAGTATTTTACCAACAGGAAAAAAAGGAAAACTAAGCTCTCGTCTAGTGGTGCTTCAAAAATTCTTTCATTCCAACATTAACCATTTTGTATGTATTCAATCTAATTAAACTGACCACCTCGGGTAAGTAGTATAAATCAGAAAGCTGGATGCTCTTTTTTTCTAAACAAAAGCAATCCAAAGTCCGAGTCACTTGCGCGATAAATCTCATATGTAATGATTGGAAATTAAAGTATATAAAAAATTGAGAATAAGTAACTGAGTTAATATTACTAATTGTTTCAAGTCATGTGGAAATGAAGGTTTATGGGTGGAGTTTTCTGCCAAACTTCGTTCTTGCTTGTCCTTTTCTTTAAATTTTCAATCAATTACATCTTCATATAAATATCCACGCGTCTTGGAAAAATGATTGTCTTTTGTGGGTCTGGATTGAATTTCTTCTCCCAGTTTGTGGTCACAATTTTGTGTGACTGGATTGAATCTT